TATGTAATATCCAAACATTTTATTAGAAAGTCGTGGCCTTCTAATATGACTTTTGCAGATATGACTCAGGGTGGCCTTCTAATGGGGGTGGCCTTCTAATATGGGGTGGCCTTCTATTCTGGGGGGGAGTTTACGATCGTTCTTGTGACAAAACGATCAACTTTTGACTTTTCCTTCACAGTGAGATATTCTAAAAACAAAACTCAATCAATTTTGCAGTAACAACGTTAAGAATAAAACCCTATTTTAAAATTCCAGTGAGCCACTTATGAAATACCAGTAGACTAACTAGTGGACTATAATTAACTTTTCACGGCGGTTCTCAAACATTACTCTTTTTCTCAAAAATATTGTATCTTGTGGTAGATAAACATAAATTTGTTACGGAAATCTGATCTTGAGTACGATTTTCAGTTTATATAATTGATCAATAATTTCAATACTACAAACTTCAGAAACAGACTGTAGAATTTAAACTCAATTCTTATCTTTGGCTTACTTATGAAGCTATGAGTTTCTTCAAAAATCTGTAATTTTTGTGAATTTTTCGATTTTTCTGGCTATGATTAAGTTTAACGATATTAATCTGCACTTATTCACGTCTTTTCCAAGAAAAAGAAGTTACAAAACATTGACAGTAGACATTTACAGTTGTTAGTACTTATTAGGTTTTGTCTCTGACTGTATAATTCAAAATATGAATTGAAACATTGTCATGTTGAATTTATTTCTTGATTTAAATTGAACTAAATTCTTAAATTCTTCCATATTACTTTGTGAAACTTGAACGTCATACTATTAGCATCACTGACATTCATGAAACAGCTGCAACAGTTGGGTATAGTCAGTTATCCTTAACAGAGTTTCATTACTAGGTAATGGAAAACTTGCGAGATTGATTCTTAGTCAAGAAAAACCTATTTTAGGAGAAGAGCGATCTTGTATAAAACTTGACTGAAGGTTTTCTGGTTTTTCTTCGATTATTCTTCATTATAATGCGAATTACAAAAATATATAAGACAAACAGCACCAGTTCAATAAGAATAAATATATATGTACGTTTTTTCAAATAACCGAAAAAGACGCATAATAATCGATTAAAAGTCGCCATTGTTTTTTCGAAAAACTCAAAAGATCGGTATCTTTGTCTGCCTGAGTAAGTCCAATAAATAGAAGAGCAATAAAACATGTAAATAAGTAACTCGCCTTAAATAATCGAATTGAGATAATTTTTGGTGACATTCTAAGTTGATCATCTTACTTACAAAAATGATTGTTCTCCAAATCCATTAGTTTTCTTTCCATATTCTATTTTGACAATTTTTTTTCAATGGATATAAAACAGATCCCGGGAGCAGTCTATTGATTTGCACAATGAGGAAATGCAAAATAACGTATGTGTTTGACATTTACTCATGAATTGCCTCTTCGAATAGATTCTGGTAGAAATACGGCTAAGAGTAATCGCACTACATTGTGTAAGACAAATCACTAATTCATTTATCGGCGAGGAGTCTATTTAATTTTAGATTACCATGTTTTTCTATACACTACTCGATTTTAGGCGGCATCAGTCGTTGTTGTTCAAACTCGTCTCATTCTACAGTTCGATTATATTTTCGTTACTATTGATTTCATATTCGGCAGTTATATAAGTTGATAGCTTGTTTGAAAAAACCAAATGTGAGGAGAGTTCTTCTTTACACATAAGGAAAAGTCACATGTGGGCGACTTCTTCCATTCTTTATCGACGGAATCGAACATGATCATTTTTCGTTCATGTCTGTTTCTGTTCCTTTTTGACTATTGCATACCTACTATATAAAAATAAGTCTGAAAGAAAGCAAAAAAATGAAACATGTGCTTTTTTAACGATGCACATTGACACTACATATTACTTACGATACCTTTCTTCACCATGACATCAATTATATTTGCAAGTCTCTTTGTAATCGTCATTATTCTGCTTTATATCTATTTGAAACGAAGTTACTCTACATCGTCAGATGATCTACCAGGAGTGAAACCACATATTTTTTTTGGTAATTTAATTAATTCCGGTATATTGACCGGTGAATCAGCGTTTCATGAAGTCATGCTCGATTATCAACGTCGTTTTGGTGACAAATTTCAATATTGGTTCGGTTCACATCGATGTTTAGTTTTCTGTCGAATGGAACATGCTCAAATGATATTTGACGATCGTCATACTTTCGAACAATCGCCGTTATTTCTTCCGAACTTCGATCTTCTTTGTCCAAATGCTATTACAATGTTGACTGGCGCCAAATGGAAACGACATATACGAGTTTTGTCACCGATGTTCAAACGAGCAAAGATTATCGGCCGTTTGGAGACTATTGTTGAATGTGCTGATCGTTTTATTGATCGAAATCTTCATTCTGACCAAGTTCATCGAAATTTGATCCCCAGTTGTCAATCATTTACAATCAATGTCATTGGATTCATCGGTTTTGACCACGATTTTGATATTCATGTTAATTCACCAATAAAAAAAGCTTTTGAAGATTTTATGTACCATGCCGTATTGCTTATGATGACACCTTGGGTGCCTCGATGGCTAGGCAAAATCTATTTGAAATGTAATTGGAAATATCGGCGAGCTTATCGACTGATTCATGAATTTGCCGAAAAACTTGTTGAAGAAGAACAAAACAAACAAAGTGACATGAAAAATGAACGACCAAAGCATGTGATTGCTTCATTGGTCTCATCATTGAACGAACAAGCCAACGACGAACATCCTTCATCCGGCATTACACGTGCGGAGATGTTCGATGAAGTTTTGATGATGATTCTAGCTGCTTATGAAAACACATCATCCGCTCTATTGTGGTTCATATTCTTCGCAAGTAAAAATCCTCGAGTGCAACAACGAATGAAAGACGAACTACATGAACATCGTCTTCTGATGACTGATGATCTTACATGCATACCACCGCTTACACCAGACAATTTAGCTTCACTAACCTATTGTGAATGTGTCACCAAAGAGGTTGGTTTTTTCTTTGAAATGTTAAATTATTTTTGTAATATGCTTCTCTCTATCCAGGTCTTACGCTTAGCTCCTGTCGCTGATCTTACAACCCGTATAGCTACTCGTGACACTATTGTTGACGATGTGAAGATTCATCGTGGTCAAATTGTTTTTATTCCTTTACATAACATCCATACGGATGCTCGATATTGGCATCATGCTGATCCTCGACGATTTGTACCAGAAAGGTTTTTAGGTGAAGATAAAAATCACGATCCATTGGCGATGATCCCGTTTGGTGGTGGACATCGAGCATGTTTTGGACAAGAATTAGCTTGGTTAGAATTGAAAACGGTCATCGTTCGAATAATGCAACGTGGTATCACACTCGAAGATGCATCGGAGCATACCGGCAGTTATGATGAACGTATCACCGTCATTCCAAACAACTTTGCAGTGCGTGTACGCATTGATTGACCTTGATATTCTTCGATGATGAGACTAGAACTTTAGACAAAGAGCTAACCAGTTTTTATTTGAATACTCATTATCTTATATGGATGTTTCCTTATTCATTTGTATGAATGTTATGGCGAAGCTCTAGTAGATATTAGAATTTCTATGTAATATCTGTTTCAATTCAGGATTCAGGTTTCTCTATCTGTTTTGTGAACAGCGATCGTCAACCCAAGGGATGAGAACTCTTATGGAGTAAAACAAAATCTGGTGATAGGAACCTAGGTCAATCTTGATGCATGGTGGTTTTGTATTATCCACCACGACAAGATAATACGGTGAAGACCGGCGCAAAGTAGCTTTGGATGTTGTACAGGAAAAAAGCAATTATGATTGGAACTAGCATCGGTAATAATCATGCAAGGCTCTGGATCGTATTTTGAGTGATGAGGAAAACACACAGGAAAATAGAAATTTAAGCGGTGAAGGTAACTACGTTGAAGTTGTCTACATAAGTACGTAAGTATTACCATATCTTAATTTGGACAAGAGTAGTCGTCAATTACCGCTTTTTAATAACCGAAAATCGTGATTCGCACAACTGTTAGGCTCCGGTGACATCTCATTCATCACAGAATTTTTTATAGCGGACAACAATCTATTTTTATTAATGGAGTGTGACGATATGGTATCCATGAGCGATGATAAATGTTAGCATCAAATGAAGAATTACATCGTTCCTCGTGTCTATAGCCAGTCTTCCAATATTTTCAAGTTAACATGGAAATATTCTAAGTTGAAACATCTATTTCATAATGATTTCGCTTTCTCAATCTGAACATGAACTTAATCATAATAGTAACAGTTTCAATATCTTTCAAAAACAAAACTGTTAGAAGGTATTTTTTGGATTCTTTCTTCCGAATTTTCAATATTCACTATCTAAATACGTCTCATGAAAAGCAGCTTTCGAGAAATCTTGTCAAATATGTTTCATTGGAAAGTGTATCTCAACATGAAATCGATTCGAAGTAATGCAAAAATAATTGAGTGATTGAAATGATGAACTTCATAGAATAAGTATGACAACTGTAGCATTGTTAACAATTATCAATATGATTTGATTGAAAGAAATCGGTTGCATCAATGGTTGTAAGTAGATGATGAGAAGACTCACACTGAGCGAGCATCACTATCACATAGATGACGTCATTTTTTTGTTTCAATTCAAGAAAGATTGATAAAAAAAATTAGGTTCTAATACATGCGAGAAACTTCTATGATTTCCTAGAAAATTGTTTTGCTTGGATAGAACATCATTCTATCTTGTATTAGAAAGTTATAATTTACTAGAAACATTGAATTATGTTATGAAATAAAACGTGAAAACCTTCAATCTCAGGGATGCAATAGATGGTATTAGACTACCGATTGAGAGTAATACTGTATTCATTGAGAGAGATCATATCACTTAATTAAGGTGTGCTCAGTTCAAATTTCCTCAGCACCTTATTTTGTTGATTATTTGTTTGTCATTCAATATAGCTTCCTAAACTGATTACGAATATCTGTTTTAATCTCATCATTACAAGTTCTTTACGGTAATCAATTCGAACAACTACAAGAGTCTGAGTTTTTCTCTAAAAAGCATAATTTGCTTTTTTCAACGACATAACTCACGAGTGTCCCACTTCAACTAAATGTGAGTTTTCAGCTTCCTCTTTTGTCTAACTGTATGTTTTAGTGAAACTAAAAAACATTCAAGAAGTGTTCTTGCTTATGCCTCTTCATTACCGAGATACCACCTATGTAATATCATCAAAGAAAGGAAATCTTCTTTTTTATTTTTGAAATATATGTCTTCTTTGTGTCATCGGAACATGTCTAAGTAAATGTTTATATAGCCAGTTTTAAAAAAACAGATGTTTAACTGATATAGTTTTTGAAATTCACGTTTTTTTCAAAGAAAATAGTGTATCAAATTATTATTGTATAAGAACTGACGACTTGTGATATCAAAGAAAAAGAATGAGACAATAGAAAATGGAAAAAAAGCAAACGAAAGTCGATCCTTTTTAACCATATTTGTGGCACGTATGAAAAACATCGATATTCGTTAATTCTTCTCTTTTTTGTTGTTTCATTTTTTCTCGGTGACATCATAAGTCACTAAGTCTTATACTATTATAATTCGATGTATTAATCATTAGTAAATGACAGACAAGATATACATATCAGAAATAAAAATAAAATTTCTTTTTGTTTTGAGATATTATTGAGATCATATCTCGGTAATAAAGAGCCGTAATCAAGAATCCTCCGAAGATTTTCTTAGTGTCACTAAGACCTACGTAGAGTTCAGGGACAAAATTGAAGGCTTGCAATTAATTCGGGTGGATTTCTCTTGGTTTATATAGGGTTATTAAAGACTACGGCTGTTTTTTGGACAAAAACAGACAGTTGAATTTATCCGAATTGTTTTGAATAAGAACTTGCACTAATAAAATTGAAAAACTAGTTGTTCTTTGTCAGTTTATCAAATTTTATCAAATAATATATAAATAAGCGACAAACAAGGTAGCGTGAAAAGTTTAAACAGGATGCACCTTACAAAATTCCATAGTAACGTTGATAACTATGTTTGTGTCTACTTCAACAAGCAAAGATGTAAGTACTAAACGATGTATCAATTCAGGTTTTTTTCTGTAATCGCTAATTTATCACTACACATTTATAATCATTTGAGTTCTTCTCGACCTCTTACCTTTTCATTCCAAAGATTTGCATCTAATGAATACACTTCATTCGAAAAAAATAACAACTTATCAGGTATCCCTTAGATTATGTTGGTGACGTTTGATAATCAAACTATATTCAACAAGAATACGTGTGTCATCAACGACAACAACAACAATGAGTGTTAATGTATAATCATCATCTAAGAGATAAATAGATGATTTGTTTTGGTATATGTGCAGTACCTTCTATGAAATTTCATCAAATTAATAGTAGGGTAATCAGTTATACTCCAATTCTTTGACTGCAGTTACAGTCAAGTATGTCACTTTTTGTACACAATTGGTTTTGAAAAAGCTGTGCCTGATTTTGTATGTAGGTTGGTTCGTTTGTACAGCTTTTTGGCGTCAAAATGTTTTATATCAAAAAACGACGGACCTGTTGTTACAAAAACTCGATAGTATTTAATACTGTCGAAATATACACATTTTTTATAACAGGTTTTACTTTGCTACTTTACTGTAGTTGCATAGACAAGGGCATCGGCCAACGCGTTCTCTCTTTAGCTGTCCATGAAATATACATTATTCATTGAATTAGAGGTAGATAAATATTATGTGCATAGAAAAGATACTGACTGTCTTCCATCGTTGCGAAATTGTTGCTGCTTGCAAAGTTACATGTTTGAGTTGAGATATACGTATATATACCTGATTGAAGAAAAAAATAGTGCATATATTTTAAAAAGAGATATACTTATTTCATTCCTATGAATCAACTGTCAGATAAAAGAAAACAATTTTGTTAAGCAATGAATCTCTGTCTTATACGGAATATGAATCACTCTATGAATGAAAACAATTACAGTTTTTTCAACAAGCAATGTCTATTTTCTATTGGAAAGAACTAACTGGCTGCATTAGAAAAAGGATATGATCAGTAAGAAGCAACATGTTCTTATATTCTTACGTCTTGTTAGCCCTATAACAAAGAAAGAATAGATATACATTGGAAAACAATATCTATTTGTCCGTAAAAGTAAAATATTAAACCGAGAAAAATGAACTCACATTAAAAAGAAGTATGTATGTTTCTATTCTTATGAATTGACTATTCGATGAGGAAAAATATGTGTTATGTAAGATGCATCAACCTTCTATTGCTACGAATTGACTATCTGAATGATGAAAAGGATAATTTTCTGTTAATTAAGAAGCTTACGTTTTCCATCTTTATGAAGTTATTGGAATTAGTGTCACAAGCATTGCACTGATACTTGTTTTCGTTATGCTTGCCAAGCTCATCTAAGATAATCATGCCGATTTGAGAAATGAAATGTTTATCAACTAGTCTATTTATCATAGAGAATTATTCAAAAGATCGAAGCACAATTCTGTTAAATAGAAGTAACTTTCAAATTCACTACCAATCTAAAGATGTCTTTTTTATCTTTCGATCGAATATATTTGAAACTAAATAACAATTTAATTGTGCAAAAATGTTTTTAACGATGATTGTTTGTACCTGCATGTTGATGTTGAGTAGTGGCATGACGATTATCAAAAGTAAACTTTATATTTATTTTTCTCAGACTCACAGCTAATATGGATTTGACTTTCGAATATTAAGAACTATGCGAAATCAATTTACATTCTTTTAAAAATTATTAAATTCCAAAATATATCTAAATTATACTATGTTAAATTTATTTTTTGATTTAAATTGAAATTAATTCTTATATTCTTCCATATACACTTTGTGAAACTTGAATGCCACACTATTAACATCATGTGTATTTATGAAACAACTGCAACAATTGGGATTAGTCAGTTACCCTTACCAGAGCTTCATTACTAGGTAATGGAAAACTTGCGAGATTGATTCTTAGTCAAGGAAAACCTATTTTAGGAGAAGAGCGATCTTATATAAAATTCAACTAAAGGTTTTCAGAGTCGAAGAATCCAGATCTATAAATTGTTTATCAAAACTTAAGAGTTCAATTTATTTCTCAAGAAAGACCCCTTCTTCGAATATGACGATGATTTGCAGAGGTAGCCTGAGTCGTGGAGGAATGCCTATTACGACCTAAAAAGTCAGCTTCACAACTTTGAAACACTATTTACAGATCCAATTTCCTCGACCCCGAAAACGAGCTTGATGAAAAATATTTACTTTCGTGACATAGATCTTTCTTCACTTAGAATCAATCTCGCACATTTTCCATTACATAGTAACGTAACTCTGATAACGGTAACTGACTACATCCAACTATGGCAGTTGCTTCATGAATATCAATGATATTAATAATACGATGCTTAAATTTCATAAAGTATTATGGGAGACTAGGACAATTTAATTTAATTTACATTGAAATCATGTTAGTTTAAAATTAAAATAGACTGACATCAGAATGCCACCCTATTAAACAAACTTTTATTTTCGTTCATTATTCTTCATTATAATCTTAATTACATAAATATATACAACAAACAGCACTAGTTCAATAAGAATAAATATTTTGCGTTTATAATAAATTAGATGAAGAAATCGACGGAGGATAATACTTCTCCTGTTAAAATACGCAGGCAATAATCAGAAAAAAGAACGAGAAAGTGTTACAAAAAAGTGAGAAACTAAAAAAATCAATAAAAACACGGCTTTTTGTGCGTTTTTCAAAATAACCGAAAAGGATGTATAATAGCTGACTAAAAGTCGCTATTTTTTTTTTGAAAAACGCAAAACATCAGTATTTTTGTCTGCCTGAATAACTGCACTAAATAGAGGAGCAATAAAACATGTAAATAAGTGATTCGCTTTCAATCATAAAATTGCAATGATGTTTTTAGGTTTGCCAACTTAATAGTACAAATTGTATCTTTTTGTCGCAGGCTAAGTTCATCATGATATTTATAAAAATTTTCGTTCTCGTAATTCATTAGTTTTCTTTCCATATTCTATTTTGACAAATTTCTTGCTGTGGATACAAAACAGATTGTGGGAGTACTTTATTGATTTACACAAACAGATAATGAAAAATAACGTTTGTGCTTGACATTTACTCATGAACTGCATGTTTGAATAGATTCGGGTAGAAATAGGGCTAAGAGTAATCGCAGTATATTTTGTCAGACAAATCACTAATTGTTTTATCGATGAGAAGTCTATTTAATTTTAGGTTACCATGTTTTTCTACACACTAGTCAATTTTAGGCAAATTCAGTCGTTATTGTTCAAACTCGTCTCATTTTACAGTTCGATTATATTTTCAGTACTATTGATTTCATACTCGACAGTTATATATCTTCATAGTTTAATTTAAAAAATTCGAACATGAAGAGAGTTTCTTGACACATAAAGGGAGATCACATGTACGTGATTACTTCAATTCTTTGTCGGTGGAACCGACCATAATGACTTTTCGTTCATTTTTTTTCTGTTTCTTTTTGTCTTACACGTACCTTTTATATAAAAGTGAGTCTGAAGCAAAAGAAAAAAAAATGAAACATGCACTTTTTTAACAGCACGCATTGACACTACATATTACTTACGACAATTTTTTTCACCATGGCATCAATTATATTTGCAAGTCTGTTTGTAATCGTCATTATTCTGCTTTATATCTATTTGAAACGAAGTTACTCTCCGTCACCAGATGATCTACCAGGAGTGAAGCCACATATTTTTTTTGGTAATTTAATTAATTCTGGCATAATGACGGGTCAATCATCATTTGCTCAAGTTACACTCGATTATCAACGTCGTTTTGGTGACAAATTTCAATATTGGTTCGGTTCACTTCGATGTTTAGTTTTCTGTCGAATGGAACATGCTCAAACGATATTTGACGATCGTCATATTTTCGAACAATCCCCATTAGTTCTTCCAAACTTTGATGTTTTTTGTCCAGGCAGCGTTTCAATGTTGACTGGCGCAAGATTTAAACGGCATATACGAGTTCTGTCACCGATATTAAAACGAGCAAAGATAATCAATTATTTGGAGATAATTGTTGAATGTGCTGATCGTTTTATTGATCAACACCTTTGTCCTGGTCAAGTTAATCGAGATTTGGTCTCATGTTGTCGATCATTTGGGCTCAATGTCATTGGATTCATCGAATTCGGCCACGATTTTGATATTCACGTTGATTTACCAATAAAAAAAGCTATTGACGATTTTCTGTACCATGCCGTGTTGCTTATGAATATACCTTGGATGCCTCGATGGCTAGGCAAAATCTATTTGAAATGTAATTGGAAATATCAACGAGCTTATCGATTGACTCATGAATTCGTAGAAAAAGTTATCGAAGCAGAACTTTTTAAACAAAGTGACATGAAAAATGAACGACCAAAGCATGTGATTGCTTCATTAGTCTCATCATTGAATGAACAAGCCAACGACGAACATCCTTCATCTGGTCTAACACGTTCAGAAATATTTGACGAAGTTTTGACGATGATCCAAGGTGGTTATGAATCAGGATCAGCTGCTCTATTGTGGTTTATATTATTCGCAAGTAAAAATCCTCAAGTGCAACAACGAATGAAAGACGAATTGCACAAACATCATCTTCTGATGACTGATGGTCTCACGAATGTACCACCACTTACATCAGACAATTTAGCTTCACTAACCTATTGTGAATGTGTGACAAAAGAGGTAGGTTTTGTTTGGAAATGTTAGACTATTTTTGCAATATTCTTTTTGTATTCAGGTCTTACGCTTGGCTCCTATCGGTGACCTCGTAAGCCGTACAAGTACTTGTGACACCATCGTTGATAATGTGAAGGTTTATCGTGGTCAAACTGTTTTTATTGCTACACATAACATCAACACTGATGCTCGCTATTGGCATCATGCTGATCCTCGACGATTTGTACCAGAAAGGTTTTTAGGTGAAGATAAAAATCACGATCCATTGGCGATGATCCCGTTTGGTGGTGGACATCGAGCATGTCTTGGACAAGAATTAGGTTGGTTAGAGTTGAAAACGGTCATCGTTCGAATAATGCAACGTGGTATTACACTCGAAGATGCATCGGAGCATACCGACAGTTATGATGAACGTATCATCGTTATTCCAGACAACTTTGCAGTGCGTGTACGCATTGATTGACCTTGATATTCTTCGATGATGAGACTAGAACTTTAGACAAAGAGCTAACCAGTTTTTGTTTGAATACTCATGATTTTATGCGGATGCTTGCTTCTCTGTTTGTATGAAAGTTATGGCAAAGCTCTAGTAGATATTAGAATTTTTATGCTGGATTTGTTTTAATTCAGATTTCAAGTATATCTATTTGTTTTGTGAACAGCGATTGTCAACCCATGGGATGAGAACTTCTTATGCAGTAACAAATCTAGTGATAGGGATCTAATTCAATCTTGATGCTTGGTGATTGTGTATTATCGGCCACGACATATATAATACACTGAAGAGCAACGCAAAGTAGCTTTGGAAGTTGTAGATTAAAGAAGCAATTTATGATTGGCACTAGCATTTTTAATACTCACGTAACGCTCTTGATTGCATTTTGAGTGATGAATAAAACACAAGGAAAAAAAAGAAATTTAGACGGCCGAGCTAACTGAGTGGGTGTGGGTGTGGGAGAATAGAAGACTGACGTTAACCCAAACCCCACACCCCACTTGTGATATTACAGAGAAGAAAGAAGAATCGTCCATACTGCTTAGACATGATGCACAAATGTCCACGATGGATCGACGTTTGTTCGTTCGTTCTGCTCTTCTCTATTCGTCATTGTTTATCTGTAATACCATAAGGGACCAAGTCTCATAAAGTTATAGTTTAATATTGTCAGCGCTAGCATAGCCATGAATTTGAAATTGTTACAGCAAATAAGCTACTATTGGAGCTGGCTATATAAATGTTTACTCAAACCTCTTTTGATGATACAAAATAAATACATTTTAAATTGAAAAAAACTTATTTTTTCATGGTATTATTTCGAGAATATCTCGGTAATAAAGAGCCATGAACAATAATGCTTCTGAAATTTTCGTAATCTGATTAAGACCTGTGTAGAACCAAAAGCTCGAAATCAGTCGGAATGCTTTCCTGATCAGTGATTTATCCTTATAGGAAAATAAGACTTCTTTAATACATCCATGTAGTCAAGATTTTTAAAAATGTTGTTAGTGTTTGACTGTTTGATTTTTTATTATCAATAATACAGTTGAATAGGAGTGGACAACAAACACTTCATTATGAACATGAATATGACTGCTATTGGTGAATTTATTTGGACATATTCTTACGTATTATATCCTCTATCATGTGTCTAAATTCTTTTAATCTGATTTCGCTGTACTATCGTGAATTTTTATCTGAGTTCAGGTATTAGTAGGCTAGTAATATGCATCTCGTTCCTTTATGTTATTGTTGTATCTGTTTTTTTTAGAAATAAACGATCTGTCGTGAATATATTACTTGATGATGCAACATCAACTCTAGTTGATAAGAAGGATTTATATGATATTCAAATTCTTTCTCCAAAAGAAACATTTAATTAAATCATTATTGTCATTTACAAAAAAAAAACGTTAAATTCGAGCTAGACATATAGCATTGATTCAATATGAGAAATGGAAATGTTTATTGATCAAAACTCAACTGAAAACGAAGCAAATAATGAACAAACATTTAATGATGTGACAACTGATATCACCCAAGAAGAAATGCAAACCAAATATACAGAAAATGTTTCTTATCTTGTATATCATATCATTTTGACTACTACAGATCTTCTTGATCAAATTAATACGTATGGATTACAGATAGACAATTCAACAGGACTCCAATTATGATGACAATATTTTGTCTGTTATGACATTTAATATCACTTATATTTGTCTTATGCAACAAGAACTTAATTAATATCTGACATGTTGACAATGACGTTTTCATCTCGCAATTAAAGTACGGAATATATGAGTTAGAAACGAGTGACTGGAAAGACAAACTGACCTTATTTTTGTGAGTATTGATAAAATACGTTCTAACTCACACTGAACGCTGTTTTACTCAGGACAAATACCAATCGGCAACGCTTGATATTTTGAGTCAATCGAACCTCATTCTGAACACAAATCTAAAAAAATAAATTCTTGGAAGATGAAGTCAAATGTAGCGTTGCAACGTATTTTGAACTTACTACTAAAGGCATCAGGCATTTACCATAACTTCATCTAACGCCATTTTTCCGAACATTAGTGCGTTTGAGCTTTTGGCTCCACGTGAGATCTAGTTGACTCAAAACCTCAAGCTCTATCGACTGGTATAAGTCCTAAGTACAATGGCATTCAGAATAGATCAAAGCGTATTTTACTAATACTCTCTGTTTGTGTTTTTTTTGTTTTTTGTTAGCACTCTGCAAGATGAGTTCTTGAAAATTCTAGTATCTTCTTTGACCTTCATTTCATATACTTAGCATAGTATCTTGATTTTCCATCCCAAGAAAAATCAAGCGTAAGCCGTCTTACACTCAAAAGCTATCAATTTTCGTGAAAAACATGAAAATTGAAATGCAGGTATGGGAAGACAACCCGAGGCCTAATATTTCATAAATGACATGAATTTTTATTTGACATCTAATTTTTTTTTTGAAAAATTTCAGTCATTTTCTGATTGAGAAATAAGGCTTTTTTCAGATAAAGTGTAAAATCTTTTCAAAACTTTATTGTAGTCAGTGTTATTTTTGTTTGAAAAACTATCTCGGGACACTGAACATGACAGAATCCGTTTTTTGAATTAAACTTTGTTACTATTATATACAAGAGTATTGTAATAATTATAGTACGATTTTCTGAGGTTTTTTTTTAGACATTGAAGTTTTCATCTCTATTCTAATCTTAAATAGCAAGGATTTAAAATAAAGGCTCTGTCATGTCCTACATCCTGACAAAATTCTTTCAAACAAAAAGAAAATTAAGTTCATAGAATGAATGTCTGCATAGAACTTTAGTTTGCCAAATGAGCAATTCCGGACAACTGCCAGTTGAATATTTTCCGAAGACATCATGGTATGGAGTTGAAAATTTGATCATAGTCTCTCCACTACAGTTTCAATATATCTTGGAAATTTCATACGATATGAATATACGTGGGTCAAGATCGATTTTTGAGATGGAGACCTTAGCAGGTTTTTCAAAACTATATATATATATATAAGTCACTATCAGCTCTAATTACTGTTAGACAATCAATAGAATTACAAGTCATATTCGATTTTAATAATTCCTAAAATCATTGTAATATAATGAAAATTTCCTAAACATCATATAGTATTCTTTGATGTACACATGTTAATACTTCATTATTTTTATGTCAACCTACTCATATTTCACTGAACTATATTAACAGTAAGAGAAACAAAAACAATAGAACAAGAACTAAAAAAAAATAAACATATAATCGTACAATGAAATGAAAAGATAGAAAAAAATTGAAAGCTAAATGCAAACAACTCACATAAATTAGAGATTTTTTATATAAAAGAGAAAGATAACATCTTACTCTAATTCTATTATATGTTCATTATTCTTCCATAGAAAATGAGAACATTTATCTACACACATTGTATATTGAAGAGAAAAAAAGGCAAGTACAGAGAATTTCATATAAATGTTAACCATTTTACACGTTTTAATTAAAGATTAGTTGTTGATACTTGTTGATCTAGAGAAGAAAAAGTAATCCCTACATAAAACATTAAAAAAACACCTACCAATAAAATCAACACTTTTACTGTTTATATCAAGTAGATGTGAAAATATTGTTTCAGAATTCATTTCATTGATAATAGGTTCAATATGAATAATAGTTGGTAATGTTCGTAATGTTGTTGGATAATTTCGTTCATTATACCAACGTAAAGATTTTTTGTCAAGCACAAGTAATTCAAGATCATGATGTTCCATATGTAGTTTTATTTGATTTAATATTGTTTCATAAGTTAATGTTTGAATATTTATACCATTGATTTCAATAATATGATCACCTTCACGTAATCCACAAAGAGCTGCTGATGAATTTTTTTTCACATTAGAAATAAATATCCGACTAAATAAAGAAATGTAACATTATTAAAGAAATAAAATGGATTTCACCCTAATTTTTTTCGATCACCACACAGAAAGAAACCATAGAAAGGTGATGAAGGAATTTTTCGAATACGACAAAGTCTTGCAACAGGTGCACCTTTTTTACAAATATTCAATATTTCGGTACTAGACTTTTCTAATTATCAATAAAGAAATAGAAAATTCAATTTAGGAGTAGATCAAACAAAACTTACTTTCTGATGAAATTGACGTAAGTTTTGCTGTACGAAGATTTTTAGGCGAAGCAGTGATTCCTGAATAAAAAGTTTATATATATATATATATTATTCAAGCACATAAAAAATCTATTGCTTATTAAAACCTGTACTAAGTATTGGTAAACTTCCATAGAAACTACGATCGATAATCTTATTTGAATTTTCCGATTGATCTTGTAAATTAAGAAAATTTGCACTCATTGTTTGCTGACTAAAACCATCAAATGGACTAATTGTATGAGTTTTATCCAATAGATTATTACGCAAAACAGCTGTTGTATGTGTTGCAATCATTAAGTTATTATTATTATTATTATTATTATTTGTATTATTGCTATTCAATAAATTATCAGTGCTTGTTCCGTTATTTGTATTGATTGATGATAGATAAACACCATTCGACCGATTATTAACAACACATATTTCAATTGTATCGTGCGTTTGCATGGCAGAAATAAGTATATCAACCACCTGAATTCAAAGATTAGTCTCGTTATCAAATCAAATATAACTAATGGATCGAAAGTTTTCAGACAAAATGCTTATTTATTTTTGGTTACCTTGAAAGTGTTGTCGAGGAGTCGAAAGCTATAGAGTATGATCAGAATTTTGTGCTCTTTTTGAATATAGACTGAGGATTGTTTTTTAGACCAAGGAGATGATCTTTTAAAAGGTCCAGGCAACAACTTGGACGGAAAATCTTTCCGTAAACTTCTATGCTTTTCTTATTGGAACTCAAAAGTAAATGTTGACACTTTTATCAATACATCAGTTTGTAGAGCAGAAGCTACCCTATGAAATGTACTATTGGAGTTTTCTTTTCTACAGATCGCTTCAGTTTTCCTTTCTCTTAAACCGTCACTTTTAAAAAATCGACTTTTTGATTAAAAGATATTTTGTATTAAAAGGAACTCTTGGCAAAGTGTCCATAGTTTTACTTAAGTAAAAACCACAGTTTAGTTCAGTATGACATTTTGCAAAGACGTATTTGCTCAACAACATAACCGACTTCAATAATTTTTTGCCACATTTGAATAGAAAACTTAAAGTCTACTGATTCAATATTCCATTTAATCTTTTGAACCTATAAAGAATTCCTTCACTAGTTTCGAACAAAAATAGACACACTATTTCTAATTTCAAACATCAAACTCTGATCATCATCCATAGTTTTCGACTTGTTAAAGATGCTTTCAAGTAAATCAAAATGAGCCACCATTTGCATCAGAAACTTCGATTCACATTTTTCGTTCAAGCTCTTATTTTGAGCCCTTCAAAGATTACTTCATTAATGTCGAACAAAAGCTGAATTAAAATTTCTAAGGTCATATGTGAAGAATGCACAATATGCTGGTCCTAATCCATAGCTATTGAATCTACATAAACACTTTCAAGGAAATCTCACAACAACAAATATATTTTATCAAAACTTTCGGCTCACCCGTCATATAAAATTGAAAATATTTCGCTCATTAGTTATAGAAAAAAAGTTAAGAACGAACCTGTTCATATTTAATGTTGCGCACATAGATACCATTGATTTCGATTACTTCATCATTGACTTGTAAACCAGCAGTATCAGCTATAGAATTCTAATTTTTTTAAAAATAAAAGGCAAGAGAATAATAGAACTGCAATCCCCGTTTTTTCTTATGTATACGAACTTTTTCAACAGCAGTAATTGTATGATCATAATCATTAGTGGCACTAAGAATAAAACCAAGACCTTTATTATGTTCTATTTTAAGCACACAACGACGAGGATCTCTAATATAATCATATGATGCACTAGATTGATTTGAACAAACTGTATTGCGTGATTGTGAAATATGTCGAACGTGTTCAGAAAGATTTTCATTATGGTGAATAATCGATGATAATGATGTTTGTGTTTTTGAATTCTTTATTCGGTCGAGAGGAATATCATAATCAGCTGTAAAAAAAAAAATAACACAAAACAACTGCTAAATTATATTCTATATATCTTAGTTCGAAATGTATTCATTACTAAAGTTTTTTTTCAATTATCTCACTCTTGAGATATAAACATAAAAAAGTATTGATAAAAGTTAAACATATTGATAGTATGAAATTAAGTTTTATTATTAATAAGTGAAATCAAGCAAGCAAAGTAGTCTATTCTTGAATAGCTAAATAACCTACTGTATTTGTGATTTTTCTAAACGTATGTGAAGGTATTAATTAAATAAAAATATATCTTTATGTTCATCTACAGTAGGCTTAGTAATATAAAGTATTAGCATGCATTTATACTGTATACAATATAAAAGAAAATGTGAAAGAACGACACTACATTACGTTCAACAACCACAATGGTGCAAAGAAGAAAAAAAGTTTTTTTTTTTTTTTTTAAAGAACTGTCAACATAGCTACATGCAAATAAAGAAAAAAAGCTGATCACAAACGTTTAGTTGATTTTTGAGATCCAATACGTTGAAAAAAATTATTAATTGTATGTGATATAAAATCTTTTATTGATTGATCAGTTGATGTTTGACTTTGTTTTCTTTGTTTATTTTTACTAGATAAATTTTGATCTGTTAAAGAATTATTCGTTTGTTGTAAGGAATTCACTACAGGACCAATAGATGTAAATGGTATTTCATGAGTAAAAGAAGTACGTATTGTAGTAGTATCAGATGGGTCATTTGGTAATGGAATATCAAAGTTAACTGTTGATTGAATATTAGGTGACATTACATCATCTTCTTCATTCTCTAATGATATTTCTTTTGGCGTAGAAAGACGATGAACATTAAATAAAGAAAAACCATGATTTAAACGTTCTGTACTATCTTGTGACATAAGTGAAGATGTTGTAGCTATTGAAGGTAATTTTAGAAAACTTGCCGATGGTCTACTTTTTGGAAAAATATGTTTCACTTTAATATCAGGTTCTTTGAATTTTTTGTGTGTTAATTTACAATAATCAAATACTTCTTTATCAACAACAAGAATTTCTAATCGACCATCATGTTTAGCTTTTTCAATTGCTTTTTTAACTTTATCAAAATTTAAACCTTTTGTTTTACGATCATTTACTTTTAATAATATATCTCGTGTTTGTAAACCAGCACGTTCACCTGGTAATTTTGGTTCAACATGTGATATTATTGGATATTCATATTGAAGATCTTCAGTTATTTCAAAGCCAAATGTTGTTGCTGGTGTACCATCAGTATTTGTTGCATTTAGATGACAAAGTCGTAATGTGTAAGATAATTCTTTACTTCGTTTTTCTAAATATACATAACCTATTCAATATAGAAGCAAACGATATGATAAATTAAATAAAACTCGCCTCGAACATGCCCCATATTCGTTTTCTTTCTTTTTTTTTATCGAAAAGAAATTTACCTCGATTTTAAGTAATGTATGAAAGAAGAAGTGATTTTCATTTCAGCTTAGACAATGTGTAAAAGATAATATAAGTTGACTAATCCTACATTCATTCACTACAGTATTAGCTTGAAGAATAGTTCACAATACAAAACAAAGAAAGAAGAATGATTTAAAAGAGACCAATATTGATACAATAGAATAAGAAGATAAGAAAAAGAATAAACATAACAAAAAAAAACTATTTCTATACAAAGACACTTGTTTGTGTCAATAACTGACGATCAAAGTTTAAATACAAAAAGCTAGGCAATTAAAATGTGACACACAATAAAGCTAGTTTTATTGTAAATAAAAAGATTCTCATTTATTTTTTTTTTTTATTTACATACTTTGATACTCTTGTACAATATTTACTGCACCGTGATGTTGTTCTTCTACTCCACTGCTTCGAACATTGTTATTTCCACTACTATTACTTGCTGATGATTGACTTTTCTTTTTTGTTTCATATTCTTTTCTTAATGATTGTTGATTAACAACAAATTGAACGATTTTTTGTTGAAGAGCTTCAGTAATTATTTTAGTAGTATCTTTATAACTTGTTTCAATAACTGATTTTCCATTAATGGATAAAAGTGTATCATTAAGTTGCAAACCAGCTTTTTCTGCTGGCGAATTTTTTTCGATTTTACAAATGGTAAATGGTGGTGAACCAATATTATTTAGTATGAAGCCAGCTGCACAGTTTGTCGATGTCTCTAAAAGACAAATACGGCTACCAGCGGGCAGAGACTGTGTCTGTGATTCACATGGAATATTTGATGGATAATTATTAACACAACAAGGTTGCTGTTCAGCTAAAACAAAATCATATACACGGTTGGAAAAAATATTATTCCAGGGGGTAACGCTATAATTTCAAATCGGTGATATGATGAATTTTATACCAAATGAAAGCCCGTGAAAAATGGGATTTATTGATGCTAAATAGTAAGAGTTATGTAAAACTTTTAATATCGAACTTAAGAAACTTTCAGAAATTTTATACATTTTTGGGAGTGGAACAGGAAGATGCTAGTAATTCAAAAATGGAGTAAAATGTTTTTCTTGGATATTTTTACATGGTTCGATAGAGCTCGTCGAGCTCTACAAAACTGTATATACTAAAAACTTTTAAACAGGATTCTTAGGTTGAAATTCACTGAAAACTGTCTAAAGAAAGTACCCAAAAATCGGCATTTTGTACAGCTTTTATAGGAGAAAAAAGTGGTCTTTTTTACAATAAATTCAGTTGTTTTCCATTAGTATCCTTATATAATATGTTTGAAAATATATTCATTTGGTGCAGTTTTTCACGCTGCATCGAATGGGTATATTTCGAAACGCCTGGGAGGGGGGGGGGGGGGGGGAGGAAAAATGATCAAAAAAGCTAATTTTATTGCAAAATCGAATGTTTTTCTTCCATATCAAAAATATCAGTTTTTTTAACGTTTTTNCATTATTTAAATCATTCAAGAACATTTAAAAGAATGCATATTAGAAAATGAAAATATTCTCTTATCGGATTATCTTGTTGAAAGATAAATAACAGAAAATAAATCATATGGATTGCATTATGTTGATAGCTAACACTTCAGTTTCCAATAAGAAGTTATACGATGTCATAGGTCTTATTGATAGAAAGGCGATTATTAGTTACACTATATTGTTGTAAATATACAAATTATATTTTAACTTGTGATACGTTTAAACTAAGTCGAAGTTATCAACTCTGTAGAACAATAAGGCAATAGTCTATCTAACAATGGAAGATTTTCTACTGTTAATAAAGAGCATTAGAAATATTCGAGTCAAATTAGAATTATCATTACCAAACTAACAAATTTCTAATGTGAGCTATTTATGACGTTCACCAAGCGACATAATAGATTTTTTAGGTATTCACAGTCATTGATTGCAGAACGTTTTGAATCTAGAGTAGACTCAGCAACATTTATAAGATCTTCTCTAGGAAGCTAAGAATAAAGAAAATGGTAGAGCGGAGTGAGTGAGTCTATTTATATTGTTTAGGTGAAATATAACTAGTAGTACTTATTTCAAAGCCACATTTTCAACTGTATAGAATTGATACGATTTAGAAAAAATTTGCAACTTGTGTCAAAAGACATGCACTTAAAGAAGCACACGAACATTTATTTTTATTTGATTTAGGCTATGTGAAGAAGAGTTCTTCGATCTCCTTTTCTGAAAAACACAATGATAGTGAAGCAACAATGTTTATTTGAAAGAAAAAGCGATTACATTGTCGGTTTAGTTAATGTTTCATAGGCATGTAAACTTAGCTACTGAATGCGAACAAAATTATCGGTAGTTTTCAGTCTATCTAACTCGAGTTTCCCGTATAATTCTTCTTCACTTGTAACGAAGAAGTACTACTTCAAGTCGTTGGCAATGTAACATCCAACATTTAGTTATACCAAATCGAATGCTTGATCCTCAATAATGTTTTCTAATTCTACTTTCCTACGAAAATGTTACTATTTGCCATCAAGGCTTTGGAACATTTTGAGAGTTTCCATGCACTGCATAAATCTATCAATCCAATGAAATGAGAAACAGATTTTTGAGCCTATGTTAACAGTTTATGTAAGATATTCATAAATCAACATTTCAACACTATTTATTTTTCTTATTGCGTAAGAAAAAGTGTGTTTGAAATCTAAAAAACAAATTTTAAAAGATTTCAAAAACCTAAGAATTTTGTTTTAGTCTATTTGCATTATATTTGAAGATGATAATAAGGCCTTGGACTTTCTTCATTAATTTCTTTTAATTCTGTTTTGATATTCGAAACTTACTTTGTCTTATGCAACTCGACGTGCTCTATATCCAATAATCATGAAACAAGAAAAATATATCTTATGCATATTGTAAATACCTAAACGATCAATTATCTTGATCAATGCACGCCATGAGCAACTCATATATTAAATTTGTTAGTTTGACAGTGAGAGCTTCAATTTGACCCGAATATGTCTAATGTACTTTACTAACAGTATAAAACCATCCAGTGTAAATTAAAATAATAAAAAGATAGTGCCATACATATTATTAATTAGAAATATTTTCACACAATTTATCTTGAGGTAGGCGAGATAGAGTTTTTATGAATTAAAAGTAAACCATAATGCTTAATTTAATAATAAAGATATTATACAACAATGGACAAGAGTTTCTCCTCCTTCTCTACCAGATTTCAGCTTCCATACATGCAGAAGGTAGGGAAATTTGTGTACACATACTTCATTGAGAATACCTATTTTTGCTTCCAGCTTTTCTAACCTGAAAAAGTTGTCTGCTATATTTCGTGCTACTCCTTATCAAAATGCTAAATGACTACTGTTTGATATTTTTATTTTCAAGTGAAGTCCAATATATGATCTTTCGTCCCTCGAAAAGTGACAGTAATGTGACCATCATTCTAGCAAGGATTTACAGACTAATAGCGTGAATAACTGGAACTAATGAAGAACCGAGTGATCCATGAAGCGTTTTTCTTTTCAGAAGTATATAGTTCAAAGGAAAAACAAGTACTATCCATTACCGTGCATCATAATTTCTGTTGTGTTTAAGTAATAGAGATAAGTTAGTGACTCTGATCTACACTTTTTGGTGGATTATGTGGACACAAATTTCTAGACGTCAAGTACCTATGATACATGAGACTAGGCCGGAGGGGGGATGCTTTTGTTCACTACTGTATATAATCAATAGAAATATTCCTTGTTTTTCTTTAACTGCAATTTCTTATTACAAAATGTTTCATAAGAATATGACAAGTACCATTGAGCTAATAACTTAAGGTAAAAATAAATCATAGATTCAATCGTTTATTTTATTGTTTAAATAAATAAACAAATAAATAAATAGATAAATATGTAAGTTATTTCTATAAACCCATAATTGACCAATCGATTAAATCTTTCTCTTGCAATTTTTTGTATCTTGGAATATGAAGTTTTGATAAAACAGTTAGTTCAACTTGATTCGATGCTAATGTCATTGCTCGAATCATAACTTTAACATCATCATGTGTTAATTTTTCTAGATTTTTTTTTTCCAACAAATATAATAACATCATTTTCATGTAGACCGGCTCGATATGAAGGTGATGCTTCTTCAACAACACCAATAACATGGAGATCTTATTGAAATTTCAATATTAATCCATAGCCATCATATTTTTTACTTTTACGTAAATAACATAATTTAGCTTTTAATGGTTCTTCTTTAATTGATTCATCAGATTTAACAATATTAAATATTTCATAACGATGTGATTTTGTTGAGATAGTTGATTTTGATGCAGATGATACCATTGTTTCAAGTACTGGATTTTCTCTTAATTCAAAACGACTTAATTTGACGACTGGTTGTATCATAATTTGTCAGTATTGGAAGTTCTAAAGAAAACAAATAAACTAATTGATTTCTTTATTTGTTTAAAAATTACCTGGTAGTTTTTCTTCAATATCAACAACTGGTTGTTGAAGAATGAGTAAATATTTTGGATCATTTGCTACTGTTAAGATAATTGGAGTCATTAATTGCATTAATTTTCGTACATCTTCATGTTCAAGATTAGTAACATTAATTCCATTTACTTGTAATATACGACGATCTCCATCTTTAAGACCAGCTAAATCTACTTGAGAACCCAGCTGAATATTACTAACAAAATGTACTTGTGATGTTATATCAGCTTGTGGAATAAATGAATTGAAATCAAGACCAATAGCTTCTGAAATAGTTATAGAACGAGTTTCACTTTGTTCTATGTCTAATTTTGAATTTGAAGATGAAGGAACAGAATTTGATGTGTCTCAATAAGAACAAAAAAAATTAAATAACAGAGAAAAAAATAAGATTCAATAATTACACTAACTATCATCATCATCATCATCCGTTTTTATGGAGGATGGATTAGGAGTAATCGAAAGACTAGTCATATTCTAGAACGAAAATGCTTCGATAATTTTATGGGAATGTGCAACGACGCAATTGATTAATCACGCGTGCGTGAAAAAAAAGAAGAGGATCGTCTATTTTGCTAGGTGTCCAAACACTTTTGTACTAACTGTAAGAGTGCAAATCTATATTTAATAATGTACCTATAATAATAAATATAATCAAAAATATCGTTCGAAGGTAATAATCAAATCCTTTCCATTTACTAAAAAAAGGAACCAATATGAAAATTTTAAAACTGAAAAATTAGAATTAGAAAACCGTTATGTATATAAATACGGCAAAACTATAATATAAAATAAATCTATACACAATGATGAAATATGCCAAATGCTTGTTATTATAGAATAAGGAATTGTTTGATGAGAAATCCTATGTCATCTACATGTACCTAGGAATAGCATTCTACTAAATGTATATATTCGAAAAAAAAATATCTATGATTACACGACCTTTTATTTATTTATTTATTTTTAATTGTTTTTATTATTAAGAGTACGAGTCAATAGTTAACTTATGTAAAAATCAATTCAATTACTAAACAGTTTGTTGATGAATATGGTCGTAAAGTGATATTTCATCGTATTTAATGTTGTTTAATAAGGAATTACTAGCTTATTCAGTAATATTAATCTCTTTTAGTTCATAAAATTCTTTTACAAATGATAGCCTATATATACTTCCTTAATCAGGCTTTAATGTTTTTTTATTTTTAAAAAATAACGAATGAATATTAATGCAAAAATCAGAAAATAATATTAGCCAAGACAATTGTAAAAACAAAATTGTCAATAGCTACAAAACTGATAGACATAAACATAGTAGTTATATTTTATTTGATATTCATCAAGATCTGCTTCTGTAACAAGAAAGCATCTAATTAAATAACAAAACAAGTTCGTCAATGTAACGCTGGAGTTATTTTCAATCACTTTCAATATCATACGAATACCCAATGCAGATTATCTTAAACTTAATGAATGTCTTAATTATCCTTTTTTCAATATTATTCTTACTTAAAGTATACTCACTGGTTTTAAAATATTATAAGTAGATATTGTTTGTTTCATTTTATATAAATTATCATGTAGATGTGGTAATGGTATAATTTATGAGTTGAGAAAGCCAAGGAAAAACGAAATTCGACGGTATGATATTGACAAAATTTAATACTCGTAAAAATTCAATACGATTGGAGGTATTAAAAATTATGAAACGCGAGAAAGTATCGGTAGATTCTTTCTCCAATAAACTAGGAGCTTGCCGAACATTTAGCTTGGCGTGCATGTGAAGAAAACTTTTATTATAGCTCTTGCTGGAGAAAAATATCAAAACATTATAGAAATATCTTTCTTATAAATGAGAAAGTTTCAGCAATATTTTTTATGGTGTATGAGTTATTACGTATTCATGATGATTAATTCTTTCTTGCAATATATGAATGATGACTGATAATAGACTCTTTTCTCCGTTTAGAATGCAGTGTTTATGTATTCATTGATCATGTAGGTAGGACTCATATACTACGAACTTGACGTTTTATTTCCCGATGATCAAAATTTGGAAACAATTAGAATGAAATGCTCATTAGCCACATGACTTCAATGATACATATACAATAGTAGATCAGCAACTTCATGTAATTGCGCCAACCTAAATGATTTATCAGAGAAGACTAACATCAACTATTCACTCGTTGTATAAATCTCATTACACACATGATGAACGTCATCTTTTTCTTTAACATAAGCAAATAATTGAAAATATCACCAGAATTAATTATTCAAACAAACATAAGTTCATTTGTATTTCTAGTTGATTTATCTACAGTTTGTCCAAAATCGTAGAAATAAAACAAGACAAGAAATATCTTGCTCTTTTGAGTAACGTTCGTTATAATAATTAATTGTAAACTTAGTGTTTTAGATTTCTACAAAATCCAAGTAAAAACAACAATATAAAACAAAATCATATTTCCTCTAAGGATTAAATCCAAGATTTATGAGGAAAAAAATTATTTTTCTTTCTCTATAATGTCGAATCTTTCATTAATTAACATTTTTTTTTCTTCATAAGATTTCCTTCAGTAATATACATGTGTTTAAAATGATCATCTCAGTTATTTACTGAATAATATCATAAAACTAAAATAGAAAAAACACGAGATATACTTCTCACTGTTCTCTTGCTAAGAATAGACAAAGTAAAGAAAAGAAAAATTAGTACAACACACACCGAATAATTAATTCGTAAAAAAAAAAATAAAGATTAATAATAGTTTAAAATATCTGGAGTAATTATTTTTAGCCTTTTATTTATACGATCAAGATAAAAGAAAACAACAAAAAGAACGACATGAAAATGATAACAGTAGATAAATGTCATCTTTGCCAATGCACATAAAACAAAGCCATATAGAATGTGATCTATTATAAAAAAAACAACAAACACGAGAGAATAAACGACTACAGATTCTTGATTTTTTTTCTTTTTGGTTCATATCTAATGGATAATAGTAATAAGGGAGACTTTATAGTGAAGTAGATAAGAAGAATTTAAACGATGATATCACATTTTGTGATGATAATAATAATAATAATCATAAATGCTATTGACTAATTATTTTTACTATTCAAAATTTGAATTAATTCGCGACGTTGCTCATCATTCAATTGTTCGATTATATCTGATAAAAGAGCAGGATGCATTTGGAATATTCTTTAAATATAAATCATAAATATATTTTCTAAATATATTCAAACATAAAAACATACCGATTAATATGTTCAAGAGCATGTTGTTTTTGTAGATTTTTAATGCGATTATTAATTAATGAAGAACTACTAAATTCATCGAGCCATTGAACGACCATTCTATCTTTTGTCCATTGAAGTGTCTATTATATGAAATTATAAATAATAATCAATAAATAGAGTGTAGAAAAAAGTTTAGAAATGTAGTAGTTTTGACTTTTTCCTTAACAATAATAACTAGAACAAATTAGAGAAAAGATTTGAGTTACTGAAAACTATTTCCTGTCAGAAGAAGTACTTGTCATTTTACTATTAGCAAATTTGAATGAAATGCTCCTGGAAAATCAAGCCTCTTAAAACCAGTTTTCTGATTTCTATCAAGAACACTCTACAAGCAGAATCTATGACCACTAGTAGCAATGCTGAAAAAATAAAATTAGCAAAGGATTTCTTAGCATAATAAAGAGATATCTCAGAGAGATTTATAATATAACTAATAATCTATATAAATACAAGGATCATTATATATGAGTATGTGTACGAATGTTTAGTAAACTCTTCTAATTGACCATGAAGCCTTACACAAGAGTAAGCAGTAATTGCTTTAAAAATTTCCCATAATCCATATAATTTTCATTTGTTTTTTTCAGCTTCTGTCTGCTACGGTTTTTGACATTTGACAATGAGTATACTTTTGTCTTTTTCGTAACATTTCAAAAACTGCAAAATATGAATGTCAATATTAAATAACTATTTGCCAGCGAGATCATCTATGAATCCATTACATAGGATAAACTATCATCAACATTATAACTAATTGTTGCAGCGCCCAATAGACGTCGGTTAATTGTCGTTCGACCAACTATTGCTTTTCCTTGTAAACAAGTTCATCTGATAGAGAGGAGATTTTTGAGCTCACCATGTTCTATCTTTATGGAATTACACTCGTTCTACGAAAGACTTCAAAGTGTAAAATACAGTAAATTTATATTGAGTTACAAACAAATAAAAACAAACAAAAAACAGCCTTTTAGGCCTCTCGCAGAATGATTGGCGTTCACTGAAGACTCGCCGTGAAGAACGAAAACTAGTTTGGGGATTCTTAGTTTTACCGAGATTTTTCGCCCAAATCTGTTAATGAGAATTCGATAAGTACTTCTTCTACTAGGAAATTATTTTAGTTAATCAAATCTATCTCTTTGATTTGTTCTAGTCGCTATTATTAAGGAATAAATTCAAAAATATTTCATTTTTTAACTTTTTGTCTTTATCTTATTTCATTTTCATTATCTTACATCATCTTGTTTATCTTCACTAAACCATTGTTGAAGATAATTTAATCCATCATGATAATCTAATGATGGATTAGCAGTTAAAATAGTTTTAATTGCATTATCTTCTTCTAAACGACGTTTTAAACGCCAATAAAAAAATTCTCGACTTGTTCGCCAATCAAGAATTTCCTTTAAACGAAAGAAAGAACAAAAATTTAATTTCAAGTAACAACAACAAAAAAAAAATCTTTTTCTTTTATTTCAATTAACTTACTCGAATAACACCTTTTTCTAACATTCTACCTGGTGTATCATGTAAATCACAGAACATAACAGCAGCTTGTTGATACATTGGTAATAAATGTTTTTCTCTTTCAACTAATTGTCTTTCTAAATCTTCTTTCATTGTATTTGTTGTTGTTGTACATAAACTTATATTTATTACTAATTCTCGACAAATATGATCAAGTCGATGTATTGTACGTATGAGATCTTTAGTACGATATTTTATTTCAACAGTACCTTCAGGTTCAAGTACACCACCACGACTCATACGATCAGCATACATTTCCATACAACGTAAATTAATTGTTGGATCAACAACAACCCATGCTCCACCACGTAATTCACCATTTGGTGGAATATAAATGAATACAGGTTGATTATATGTACGTAAAGCATCAACAATATAAGCGCCAAATTTAATTATTTGATCATACATATCTTTCATTCCACCACTAAAACCACGCCAATTAGCAAATATCATTAATGGTAAATTTTCACGTTTGAAATCATTAATTGCTTGTGCTGTTTTAAATGCTGAATCAGGAAACCATACTTGACCAGCTTGCTGAATAGTACGTGCATCCGAATCAAAATTAGCTGGATCAGCTGGTTGTTCTAATTCAACTGTACGAGTTTCAACAGCAATAACACCCATGGCTTTAAGAAATGATTGAAAAAAAGAATTTAGACAAACTTAATATTAACTACAGTACATGCCAAAAGTTTCGCACTACTTTTTTGTTTTGTTTTAAGTCATGTATTTTATATACATGACTTTCATTTTATTCGACTATATGTCTGTATAGTAGAAGTCAAGTACTAATCTACATGCACATACTCCAACTTCTAAATAGTGTGTTTTATAGGTCTACATCGTGGATAATTTCTGAGAAAGTCTAGCATCCAGTTACATCTTCTATGGTCGACAGTATTGGAGACACGAAGACTCACCATTAGTGAAAAGCAGTAGTAAATTATTGAAAAATCTCATTACTGTTTTTTTTCATCAAAGTCAGTATGATCGAAGATGATAAGTATATAAGCTTTTAGCCCATGAAAAGTTCTATTATAACCGTAGAAAAGAATTTTTTTTTTACAAACACTTTCCACTAACGCCAAAGACTACAATGATCAGTAACTTATCATGCGTTGAGTGTATAGTCGTCTATGAGTAAACGTTATTTCTCAATTAAGCACATAATTCAACAGGGTTTTTTATAAGAATAATATCACTTTATCTTTTTCTTATTGTATTTCATATTCAAGACTTTGTCGTATTCAACTTTTACTATACAGAGACATACAATCGATTTAAATTAACCTTATGAAGTTTAAATACTCGACTCAAAACAAAGTGGTACGATACTTTTGACACACACTCTACTTACGAATTCCACCAAGACGAGCTCGACCACAAACAACAGTCTTTGCCCAACCTTTCATTATTTCTATAAATGAATCTCGATCAAAAAAACCCGATTGAAAATGTGATGTATTTAATACATCTATATCATTATTTTGATTTATTTGTTGTAAAGAAGTAAAATGTCCTCCTTGAATCATATGTCTTGGATCATATGGTGTTGATGTTGGCATAAAATCAATTTGGCGATCAATGGGATCATGAAATTCTGATAATACCGGTGGTAAATGAAGCATTGTTTCAGGCATATAAGAAAGCCATCGAAGTACAAGTAAACATCCATCAAAATCATCTTTAACAACATCATGTGTAACACCATTATTATACATAATTTGTATGCCACCTAATTGATTGTTACTATTATAAACTTCTCTACCAAGAACTTTATTAAGTGCAGCAGCACCGGTTAATATTATATGAGAATTTTCAACTTGTATTACACGAGAACCTAATCGAACAAGATAAGCACCAATACCAACTGCTCGACATGTAACCAGACTAATTGTTGGCTAAACAAAAATTCAATTTTAATAAATTAATTTAAATATATATATATATATATATAATTACTTACAATGACATTATATGCAAATGATGTTTCACCAGCAATCATACCTGAACCACGTAAATTTTCTACACCTATACTATTTTCTTTTCCAATAATATCAATAATTTTATATCTTATTTCACCATCATCATGATGAATAGTTTCTGTTCGTACACAATTCATATGTGATACACGTGCATAATCTTCTGATGTTAAATATAAATATTGTATACCTTTATCAATATCTTTTGGATCATTCCATGCAATACGATAAAGAAATTTAAGTTCTTCAGCAAGACCAATACGTGCACCACTATTTGCCGCTATATAAATACGTGGTACACGTTCTAAACGTGATAATTCTGATGCACGTTGAAATAATAAATCTTCTTCAATACCAAATGAACCAATTTTATGTGTTATATCATTAGCAATAACAATTATTGTACGACCAGATGGACATTCAGGTGTTTTCATATGAATACGCCATGCAACAATACCACAATCATTTTCTGCTGGTGAACGTGTACGTGTTAAAAGGCCACATTGTTCAAGATATTTATTTGATTTATTACTCTTATTTGGAGATGTTTTTAATGAATTAGATGTTGGCGATGATGAAATTTTAGTTGGTGATAATAAAGAAGGTGAATCATTAAGATTTACTAATAAAAATAAAAATATTTGTTAAATTAAATAAAGAAAAAAAAAAAAGAAACGAACAATTTTTTTTCTTACCTTGATTTGATGTATCAAGAATAAGTTCTTGATAAATAAAAACATCTTTTGATATTATATTTTCTTTAAGTTTATTTCGATCTGAATATTGTTTCCATATTAATAATAATGCTTGTCGAAACATTTCAGGAAAATCATAAACATATGTTGTATTATTTGATTGAGCAGTAAAACGTTTATATTGTAAATGATCTTTAGTTACATATGGATCATGTAATGCACGACCATCTAATGGACCTGTTTTGCCAGAAGTATATGATTGAAATGTTGTTTGTCCTGTTGATGAATTTGTTACTTCACGATAAAGAGATATATCAAGATAATAACCACTTTCATATGTTAAAAAAACTCGAAATGGTATACGTTCAGAATCAGGTGTGATACGTATTGTCATTTTTAATTCAGCTTGAAGAATACGAAGTTTCCATAAACGAATACCTTTAAATTGAAAAGAAATAAGAATATGTATTCAAGTATATTTCGAAGAACTTTTCAAGGAGAAGAAAACTGATCAAAATATCTGTCAGTATTTGAATTCTATCATGTTCGAATAGTTCATCTATATGTATATGAGAGTATGTATAAGATAGATATGGACAAAATAGTTTCAGGATCAAAAACAACACTTTCTATTTGAAGTAATATCTGTTATGACTGTGCAAGACTTGCATAAAATATCATATTCTCATAACTCATGTACTCTAAAGATTTGCGGAAATTATTGAGTAACAGTCACGTCAATATTTACTTTTACAGTTTTAATAGTAAAAGTAATTCTTTTCTTCGTAAACAAAAGAGTTGTTGAACACATAAATGCAGAATAGATTAAGTATGAATGATTTTTGAAAAGGCAACCAATCTTCAAAAAGAAGCGTATTAGAGATTATTGGGATGGTGCAAGAAGTCTCGCATTCATTGACACTTCTAGAAAATTATATCACATTATTTTCTAGTATATGTATATCCAAGTGTAAAACCAGAACTAAAAACATTTCGTCCCGCTCATCCCTAATATAACTTGATAAGCTGTTTCAAGTCAAACAAAAATGAATGTGTACAAATACTTACAGTTTGAGCTTGGAACATATTTATAGATTACTTAAAGACTTTCTTATCTAACGAGAGAACTACTCGAGCAGACAAAACACTTTTTGAACGAAACACATATTACTAGGTGAAGTCTACTTAGAGTAGGCAATACACCTCATGATCTTCTTACTTCTTTCTTTTCTATTTAAGACCGTTATACAGAGTTTCTGGCCTAGTGTAGAGATTTATGATAAAAAGTCCAATGTTGCCATTTCGACCATATTAAGATTTTATGGTCTCTATCATACACAGAAAGTTTTAATTAGAACGAATATTTTATTTCTGAGACAATAGATTTTTAACCGATGCGCATATTTTAGAAAAGATTCAAGAAAATTCAATTTTCTTGCAAGTATTTTATCTCAAAAAAAAAAAAAAACTTTTGATATATGATAACGATCAGGGAAACCTCTTTATGATCAAAACTTCAACTCCAAATGGCAATAGTGAGCTTTCTATCACGCACTCTAAACTAGATCAGAGACTGAATAAAACGATCATAAATCGAAAAGAAAGCAATAAGAAAACAAACCATTATTAATTTTATTTATTCTCAGTAGACTCTACCTAATGATATAAGTCTCGTCTCAAGAGCCTTTATATCTTCTAGAGCATTGCTCTTGGAAAATGCGCAAGTATACATCATCGATTAAGAATTGAAATGTAACTAATTTCATAATAGAAAAAAAAATAAGAAATCAGCTCATTTAACATTCAATAAATTAGTCATAAATTAATCTAAGCACTCAAAATTACTTTAATAATATTCATAACAAAAAGTCATTTCACTTAACATTACTATGTGTTTCAATATTAAATCAAAAAAAAAAAAAAAGAAACAGATAAGATTTTTATACGATTATGATAATATAAATTTCCTAGAACACTATTTACGGACAAAACAATCATTTTGAATATACAGAGTAGAAATTTGAATCTACTCCCACAGATCTTGACAGATATTTTAATAGTTTAGTCTATCTAACCATTAAGGAAAATACAACTCATATGTATGAAGTGCTCTTTAACAAGTACAATAGATCAATCATGTTTTATATTTTAGAATTAAACATACCATAACGAAGTACCATAGTACGAACACTTTCTTCAAGTTTAGCTGGTTCAATACAAACAGTTGGTACGAAACACATAAAAACATGATTACAATCAGTTTTATTTGCTAATGGATGTGAAAATGCTATTTCTAATTCATCCATTGCTTCAAGTAATGTTCGTTCNAGAAAAAAGCTATTGATGCGTCGTCCAAATTAATTTTTAAGACCTTTCAAAGATTTCTTCACTGCTCTTGAACAAAAATAGATACAACATTTCCAAGCTCATATTCAGAAAGAACACAAAATTCTGGTTCTAATCCATAGTTTTCGACTCGTCTGAAATATTTTCAAGTGGGTCAGATATAAACAAACATTTTGTGCGAAAACTTTCGATCCACCCGTTATTCTGCATCAGAACTTTCTGGGCATCATGTTTCAGCATTTCTCATCCAACAACAATACATGTAGGGGTATAATAGACATGAGCAATACTACGACTGTCTAACATGTACTGACGATGCTAGAACTCTACGGAACAACGAATAATCCCTCTGTGATGTTTCTTACCGTGTCAACTCTCAAATTTCTTTCATCCTGTCTAACATCGTGAGAATTATTTTATTAGTAAGGATCGATGATTCATATCTTGGATTTTGATACGATTGATCATTGGTCTCGAACTGCATAGAATATTGACATGTCTAACACTCCGAACATCGAAGAGGTTTCAAGTTCTGACATTTCACATCTTTCGTATGACAGCAGGTAAACATAAGAAAGAATCAACTAATATTCAAAACAATTTCCCGAAGTGACACATTTATTTTCATGGAAGAGATCGAGATGTACAATTTGGTCAAGATCGTTTGCCCATCTCACAAAGGAATTTCTAGTAGGCTATCTACATGATTATTAGATAAGACTTGAACAGTATGTAGCTATGGCTTCAGAAACAGTCTATGTTCAGCAAACGTGGGAGACATGTCTTCTTAGTTCATTATCTGATCGCATATATTACAAAATGATGAGCTTTAGAAAGAACATCTGGTTTTTCAATCATTTGATAGTCTGAGCGCAATATGACAGATCGTTCTCTGTCTTCCAAAGATTGATACATACATATCTTATATTTTCTGTCGTTTTTGTAATAAGCCGTGCAAATCTATAACAAATGGTTCCATAAGACATTTTTCTACACTACTTGAATGTATCGGTGTTTCGAAGAGTTAGTACGTATTTCGAGACGAACATGACATTCAGCTTTTCAAGATCGGATATAAGTAAAAAGAAGACCTTTTTCTATATCATAAATTGCGCCAGATGTGATTGTTGGATACGTAGTTGACCTTCAGTTGAAAAAAAAATCAATTTTTTGTCGCACTTATCAAATATTGAGGGTATCATGTATAAGTGTACGTGCCAGGAGGTATTGATCAATTTTCCAAGTATGTAAAGATGAAAGAGAATCACTTTTAATGGCACTATCATTAAAAAAAATATTCTAGCAATTTTATTTATGAACAATTATAATAAGAATAAAGTAGATCTGAAATTAATTAACTTTTTACCTTTTAAAGTCAGAGTTTATCACGAGAGAAAGCGAAAGACTTTCTACTCAAACAAAAGATACTGGTCGATTATACTTATTGTTCAAGTATCAGCACCTTTTCGAATCAAATTTTATTCATTATGGCAGAAATACTTTGTAGATGTACCCGATCAATGAAATCATATCAAGGTTCGGTGCACAGGGAGTGTTCACAATTTACAAAGAAGATTTGTGCAGAAGCCTAGCAAAAGAAAAGATTCGCAAGATTTTTGAAGAAAACCAAACAAATTAATGAGTAGATTACTAAATTCATCATTTCTTGTACGTACGATATTCAACTCATTGCGCCACCTGCATATCGATCGATTTATATTGTTCATTGGTTAGATGAATATAATTTCGAAGGAAAAAAAACTAATGGTTTAAATCATTGAAATTCATAAGAATGTCGAAATTATCAAATACCCGTTCTGTTCGATCAACATATACTAGTCTTTTATTACTTATTGATTACGGTTTAAGTGAAAAAACTATTCAAGGTGTTTGCCATGGACTTGATCAACTATTTAGTATTGTCTCGACATATGTTGGCGTACAACGCATACCAATGTTTGGACTCATTGTTAATGGACAACATCAAAGTGAAGTATGTATATTCGTTATTAAATAAGCTATGCTAAAAACAGTGCTGGATATTTTTGAATTTCTTATAAAAATATTAAAGAAGAGTTCTCTCTATATAGTCTGATAGTAGAAGCCATGCTCTACATTTCTCTGATATTTTGATCATTCTTCAACTAATATCATAATAATAAAATTTCGATAAGAACTATTTATGATAACTTGTGACAAAAATATTAGATCCCATTTTGTTTACGATGTGTATCTTCTTTTTTTTCTCGTGTTCTCTAATAATATCTAGTCATCTATAAATATTAAAATATACAAAAAGTAGTGCCGGTAGAACAAAAAAGAAATACAGAAATAAACTCATCGAATCTTAATTTTATTAAACGTTCGAAATAATTGTTCTTTTTATAATAGGCGAAAGATACATGACACCGCACTCGAAGAATAACTTCAGTATAAACTTGATGAGTTTTTTCCTTTATTTCTATTTTTATTTTACCGATACCACTTTTTGTATACTACAATATGTTATACACAATTAGGCATTACATGACGACAAGCAAAAAAAGAAGATGCACAACTTAAACAAAATGTGGTCTAATATTTCTGTCACTTATAATCATAAATAGCTCTATCGAAATTTTATTATTATCATATTAGTTGAAGAATGATCAAAATATCAGAGAAATGTAGAGCATTGTTTCTACTATCAGACCATATAGAGAGAACGTTTCTTTAGAATCTTTATAAGAAATTAAAATGTCTTCATCACTACTCTTAGTATGATCTAAGTACTTATTTTTTTTTTCAATATGATACTTACTCTAGATTTTTATACCACTATCATTAACACATAATAATCATATGGAATTACAAGTAGCATTGTGTAAATTACAACTACTTGCTCAAAAATGGTCAATAAAATCAAATGCATGTAATATTTCATCAGTATCATGGCAATCTGCTTTACAGCTAGCTTACATTGAAATCAATTCAATTGTTAAGAATAATAATGAAAATCAAGTGAGTTTTATTTTAATTGTAATCTCGTCTTTGTTATTATTGCTGTTGTTTCTTTTGAGTCAAATGTAATACAGATCGATAATTTACAAAACAAAAGAACAATGGAAATGAGAAATCATGCCAGTAGAAACGTTGGCAGATGTAAATATATATACTTCACAAGAATGATTGAAAAAAAAGAGAGAGATAAGTGAAATGGCAAATGTAACTATCAGAAAAAAACGATAAGAAGATTAAAAAAAGATAGGTCTTTTTACAATTTTTATCTAACGTAGGAATCTCTTCATATGTCAAATCTCTTTTCGATTGAGACGACGTTCATTCAATGAGTAATAGAAAAGTCTACAATGGTTTGTTTTTCTAGGCTTTCGTTTTTGAGATATCGAAATGCTACTGTGTTTTTCAACAAAAGTCTGTAGTCTCTCTAAGAACACATAGATAATCAAATTTCGAGTTTCGACCTTGATCGTTGTAGAACACAGTTCTTAATAAGATTAATTGATTGTGTAATTAGTAGTTCCTTTCTGAAGATGTGAATATATGAACCAAATACACTTAGTAGATTCCCGTTCCGTCGAAAACTTAATTGATTTTCCCGTTTCGTCGAAAAATTAAAGTGTAATGAAAAAAGTATAATTAAAGTGATAAACTCAATTTCTTTGATTGACTTAAACTATTTCCTTAAAAAGAAACTAATTGATATCGCTATACTAGGTAGTAATCTGTGATTTTACAAAAGTAAATATATGTGGAGTAAAAAGGAAAAATTCATTTTTTTTTGTTAAATTCATTCATTATTACACAAAACGATGCTATCTGTTGTTGAAAGTAACCGTAATAAACCAACTTTATTACTTGATACTTTTCGCTGCATACAAGATAAAATTTAAAACACAACTGTTTATTGGAAATGTGAAAATCGTTCATGTCCTGGACGTGCTATACAATATAGTTCCAATCCAGCAAGCATGAAGAAATCACATAATCATGATGCTGATGAAATGAAATGTAAAAAGGAAGAATTTCCAATGAAATTAAAACTTCTCTATAATAATTTTGTTTTTGACAAACTTATCTACGAATAATTAGACACTATTCGTAATTAATATGACGAAAAAATCTCATCAAATGATATAATCTATTATTCATTGATAAATTAGAATTTTTTTTTCGACGAAACGGGAATAATCGTTTTTTCATTTTCGACGAAACGGGAACAGTCGTTTTTTTCACTTTCGACGAAACGGGAATGGAAGAAAAATACATTTTCGACGAAACAGAAAAATCAATTAAGCTTTCGACGAAACGGGACCTAGTCATACACTTTTACAAATGAGAGAATTTTGTATATTGAATATCTCAAGATAGCAGATACTAGAAAATTTATAAGTTCTTTAATAACCTAATCTCATTGAGAAGTATATTCATGTAAAGTTGGAAGTCGAAACTCGAAAGTCAAATTTTTCACGTGATCTGAAGGGGACCAAAGATTTTTGTTGAAAACACCCAATACAATTTCGGTATTTCAAAAAAAGAATGCTAAAAAAATCAAGTAATTCTAGAATTTTAAATTAATCGCGAGCACTCATCAAATAAACATCAGCAAGTATTTAGAATATGTACATCTCTATAATACTATACAAATTTTCTCAAGGACTTCTATGAATTACATCATGGACTCCATCCAACGAATTGTCTAAAAAGAATGCTATTTAATGAATTATTCTCGATGCTTTCGATGTGTAGAACATAATAGAAAATGGCTTTTAATCACATTTGTCGTCGTGTATCAAAGATAGGCAACTTCAAAACTAAGTTAAAGTTAAGTTTTGCTTACCAAGTTAAGAAAAATCGACAATGAGACAGACGTCTATACGTGATTTACATCAGCTAGTTATTAGAAAAATTTACACGAGATTTGTTTATACAATATTGAATACTGTCTCTTTATTTAATTCAT